AATGACTAAGTAATTCACGAGGGAAATTCAAACTCGCTACCATTACAATAGTGAAATTCATGAGGTCAATTCGAACATAGCCGATTACTGCATAAGCGCGAAATTTGAATATTTGGCGAAAGCGAGTTTATGTCAAATCGTACCCTGGGTAAGAGGAGGGAGTTACTTTTCGTTCAGGGAGGGTCGGTCAAGACACAGAATGTCGCAGCAGAGACTGACAAAGAGTGATGAAACCAAATGAAATTTGAATCAGTGTGAATAGTCATAAATGAAACTTGTTTGAAGTGAACTCATTCCGTGAAACTGACAGGCAGCCCGGTTCCATATCTCACAATGTTAAGCTGCAGCTACAAGAGCGATTTTTTTGCTTGCGACGGTAATGCAATTTTTCTAAATTTGTCGCGTCACCAGCGCGCGGTGGAAGATTCCGCAAAAAACTCTTTACAAGAAGTGACTTCAAAAGGATACATTATCTCAACAAAGTTTTCTCTCTTACGCAGCTAGTCAGCTCAAAATCAAACTCATTGTATAAAATTATGCATTTGCATAAAAAATTTTTCCGCAACTTCCTTTCGCAATCTTAAGTTCGATGACAGAACAGGACTGACCGAAACGAAAGTTGGATAATTCATACTGGAGTCAAATTCGATTCAGCGATGAAATCCCAAATATATTTTGTCAAACAATAATAATAACCATCTCTCATAACATGAAAACATACCGCATGCCGTCAAAGAGAACTCGCCCTGGCGGAATGATTCAAACTAAATTGAAATTTAGTACAAATAACGAGAGATTTGAAGTTTTCCCTTAGTGCGTGACGCATTAATTGGGTAAGGTAACGAATCTGATCCAACCGACGTCGTCACCTTCGAAAAACCAGGTTCGAAAAGCCAGGTTCGACAGCGGCTGTTTGTACAGCATCGGTGGTGTGTCGGTAGTGTGTCGGCCGACGCGTCGGTTGGATCAGATTCGTTACCTTTACCCATTAATTTCTCTTACTAATTTCTCGACACTTACTTCTTAGTGTTACCAGGGTCGGCCATCCTTTTTCTACGCCAGCTGCTAGGAGTTTTTATGAACTGTGCGCTGAAATGGAGTTCTGAGCTTAGTGCCAACGAGCAAGCAATCAAAACAAACTTGATGACAACTCCGCTCAATGAATTGAATGCCAAAGCTGCTGAGCATCGACGATAAGAACCATGCGGACTTAACGTCACAATCTCTGCGCGCTACGATTGGTCCGTTACAAGACAATCGACACCTCTTTTCCATGTCTCTAAATCACTCGAGACTTTTTCCGCCTGCACAGTACTTTCGCACGGCTCTATGATGCTGCCGCCTTGCCAGCCTCGCGTCTTCGCTCGGCTGGCTCGTGGGCAATAATCGATTGCCTTGTGAATTTTGAAAACCCTTCCTCTACCTGATCTCGTGAATGACCACGAAATTAAAACTAACAAGCCTGACTTGTGTAATTATCCCGACGGGGATTGGTCAATATTTGCAGCAAGCTTCACTTAGCAGGAACATTTTTCACACTACAGTGGTAGTTTGGAAAATTTGGAATTCTCTTCTTTCACATCCCCATAATCCCTTGCGCCTTGGGGGGTAACCAGTCTGACAACAAAGCTAAGGACGCCATATCTGTTTGCAAAACTCTTATATATCATCGTAATTTACATGGGAAAAAACGACTTTTGCTGTGCTCCAAGCTGCTCAAATAATCGGAAAAGAAACCCAAATCTCAAGTTTTACAGAATTCCGAAAGAATCTAAGCGAAGAAATGCTTGGTTAAATAGAATTCGCCGACAAGATTTTTCACCAACAGACAACACTCGATTGTGCTCAGCTCACTTCGTCGGAGGAGAAAAGTCCGATGATCCTGCACATTCGGCTTACAATCCATCCATATTTGAGTTCAAGAAGGAAATTGAAAGTCGAAAGACCAGAACAAGTCAAAAAACAAACAAAGATGACTTCGTTGCAATTGAAACTCTAAAACCAAAGCGCAAACGAGTCAGTGTAAGTACTTCACGATGACTTTGATAAGTGTTTTTATT